GGGAGACAAACAATATCTACACAAATAAAGTATGTAGTTTATCAGATAGTGATAGATGCTTGGGAGAAGAATTAAGAAAGGAAAGGGATAAGGAGTGTTGAGATTTGCAATGTTAAGTAGAGATGTTAAGGAAGGCCTTATTGAGAAGGTGACTTTTTCCTGAGACATAGTCACTCTGTCACCCAGGCTGGAATGCCATGGCACAAAGTCGTCACTGCTACCTCTGCCTCCCAGGTGCAAGTAATTATCATGCCTCAGCCTCTCGAGTAGCTGGGATTACAGGCATGTGCCACCACACCCGGCTATTTTTGTATTTTTAGTACAGTGGGTGTTTCACCATGTTGGCCAGGCTGGTTTCAAACTCCTGGGCTCAAGTGATCCAACAGCCTGGGCCTCCCAAAGTGCTTAATTTTTCCTAAAAATACTAATAGCCAGGCATGGTGGTGCATGCCTGTAATCCTAGCTACTCAGGAGGCTGAGGCAGGAGAATCGCTTGAACCTGGAAGGTGGAGGTTGCAGTGAGCCAAGATCGTGCCATTGTACTCCAGCCTGGGTGACAGAGACAGACTCCGTCTCAAAAAAAAAAAAAAACTTCTCAGCATTCTCAGTATTAGCTTCAAGAATGAGACTGTATGTTCATAAACAAGAGGTCATGTGAGGCGTCAGAGCTGGTACATAAGATAGAAAGGTCAGAGCCTGTTTGTAAACCAGTAACAGGAATAACAAGAGATAAACATTATCAGTTTACACCCAGCCTCTGCCAAAGCCCAGGGTAACACATTTCCACATTTCCTGAGTCCACACAGGACTTTTATTTACAAAGGTTTATTTGATTCTTGGATCTCAAACTGAGCATTCATTAATATGATTTTTAAAAGTCATATAGCTCTGAGGTGAATTGTCCTGGCATGTGGATGGGAAAGGGAGGGAGCTATGCCCTCATCAAAATTTCAAGAGGAAATGTTTACAGATTACTTTCCTGGCTATTATTGGAGACAAGTTTCCTTATCTTTCATCCTTCCAGTTTACCTTTCCTCTGACACTCAAAACACGTTTTACTACTTACTTGCTCATTACCTTTCAAAAAAAAGACAGACTAAATAGAATTCCAAAATTGTATTACAACGTGGACTGTCTTTCAAAGGATTTGTTTTTCCTTAAAGCATTTATTTTTCTTTTAGAGTAATTTAAGCTTAATATTGTCCCAGGAAAGAAAATGGATACATTTGCAAATAGGTGGGTATGAAGAACATGTATTTCAGCTCTCAAGTAGGGCTGATCTCTGCCTCCAAATTGTTTCTTCTAAAATGTTTTTTATTGAGCCCTTCCGAAGTGGCCGCCTTTGGAGAGCAGCAGCCATGGCTCTGTGCTACCCTACAGCCGTGGGCCTCAACGAGGGCCACAAGGTGACCAAGAACGTGAGCAAGCCCAGGCACAGCCGCCACTGAGAGCACCTGACCAAATACACCAAGTTCGTGTGGGACATGATCTGAGAGGTGTGTGGCTTCACCCCATACGAGCGGCGTGCCATGGAGTTACCGAAGGTCTCCAAGGACAAACAGGCCCTCAAGTTCATCAAGACATAGGTGGGGACGCACATCCTTGCCAAGAGGAAGCGGGAAGAGCTCAGCAACGTCCTGGCCACCATGATGAAAGCCAAGAAAGACTGAGCTCCGTCCCTTGCCCTCTCCCTGAAATAAAGAACAGCTTGACAGAAAAAAAACAAACAAAACCTTTTTATCATAGGTGGGGCACAGTGGCTCACACCTGTAATACCAACACTTTGGGAGGTCTGGCATGGTGGCCTGTACCTATAGTCCTAGCTACTCAGGAGGCTGAGGTGGGAGGATCACTTGAGCCCAGGAGGTTGAGATTGCATTGAACCAGGATCCCACCACTGCACTCCAGCCTGAGTGATAGGGCAAGACCCTGTCTCAAACAAAACAAAACAAAATGAACATTTAGCAAATTTAATTAGCGAGAGATAGTTCAAAATCTTGAGATTTTGGTTTGTTTTTACATTTACTACATAAGATTACTTGGTAGAAATGAGAATTAGCTTTCTGTATGACAATTTACAATAGCTATTATTTTAAAAATATTTTTATTCTTAAGAATCAACCTTAAATTAGTCGTTTGGAATTGTCACTACTTAGTATATGGTGAACAAGAACTTTGGAATCAGACGACCTGAGTTCTCAGCCCACAAGCACCATCTAGTTAGTAGTTTAACGACTTTAAACACTTCACATGTTCATTTCTTGGTTTCCTCATTTGTAAATCTGAGTAATAAAATCTATCTCGTATGGTTGTTAGGAAGCCTAAATGCTATAAAACGTTGGGATGAGTGCTTTGTAATTTTACTAGTAGTAGATGCTGTTTAAGGAGACTTAAAAAACTCAGCAAATCAGATTAACTGTATTGTCATTACATCAACTGAAGACTCCAAGTCTGCCAATCTGACGTTAGAAAGGGTTACAGTAGGGGCCCGGTGGCTCACGCCTGTAACCCCAGCACTTTGGGAGGCCAAACTGGAAGAACTGCCTGAGCCTAGGACTTCCCCTTTCCACCCCATCTTGACATAAAATAAAATAAAGCAATTAGGTTGGTATGGTGGTTCATGACTATAGTCCCAGCTATTTTGGAGTGGGAGGCGTGAGGATCACCTGTGTCCGGAAGGTTGTTGCTGCAGCGAGTGGCAATCATGCCACTGCACCCAGCCTGGGCAACAAAGGGAGGCACTGTCTCAAAAAAAAAAAAAAAAAAAAAAAAAAAGGGGGGGTTAGGCTTCAAAAAAAAAAAAAAAAAAAAAAAAAAAAAAAAAAAAAAAAAAAAAAAAAATAGAGGGTTTAGGCTTCAGATACAAATACATCTCAGAGACTCGGGGTTTTGAGACACCTACATTAAATTAGAAATAAAATGATAAAAATCAGCAAACACCTATGCTTTCTGTGAATGTACATTTCTCATATCCCATCTCGTTGATGTCTGCCCAAAAAAGGTACCCAGTCTCATATGCTGTTCATTATATGAAATTTTAGCCAAAAGTAGAACCATTAACTATTAATTAAAAGTCATGTTATCACTTATTTATTTTGGATGATGGATAATGGGTATTTGTTACATTTTTCTGTATGCTTTAATTTCCAAAATAAAAGTGTTTAAAATAATAATAATAAGACCCAGTAGTTAGCCTGATTCTCCAAACTTTAGGCCAGATTTTTGTATACCACAAATCTGCAGCCAGCGCAGTGGCTCATGCCTGTAATCCCCAAACTTAGGGAGGCAGAAGCAGGAAGATAGCTTGAGACTAGGAGTTCAAGACCTGCCTGGGCAACAGAGCAAGAACTGTTGAAAAAAAGAAAGACAATACACAAATCTGCAGGGAGGAATCTTTCTAGAAAGAATTTGTTTCAAGAACTGTCTTGCAGGAATATCAGAAGGTTTTTTTACTTCCTTTGACTCAAAGGCTGTAACATTGTACTTTATAGAAATGGAAATAAAGGCATTAGTTTGAACAATCCTCTATGCTACTGTTGAAAAGTTTGGAGCCTATAACACATTCAAATTGGTTTATAGCCAAATCTTTTTTCACATTCCTTTTCTCCAGGCAGGAACTTATATCTCACAGCCTTCTTAGAGTCAGTCAGGTTGAGCCAGGTGACTAGTTCAGACAAGTGAAACGTCAGCAGAAGTGAAAAGGCCACTCTGGCAGAGGCAAAGGAAAGCCCTTACAGGATTCTCCAATCTAGCTCTTCTGCCAGCCCGGAAGTGCTGGGAGGGCAGAGCCAGAGATGCAAGCAGCAGAGAAGCTGAGTCATCGCACAGACGTGACTAGTGAAGCCTCACAGCCGAGCCCGTGTTGAGATAAACACAACACAGTCCTGCAGACTTTACAATCATAAATGAGGTAGAGCAGAAATGGAAAATGACCCTCTAGGCCTCTAAGACCAAATTATAATGAAAAAATCTATATCTTCAGTTTTGAAAATTAAAGCTTTTGACCCTGATAAAACCAGTTTGCTATACAAGTATCTGTTAACCATGTGAAACTACTGAAATGAGTCAAACTATTTTCTTAAGTTCCTTCCACTTCAACATCAATGCTAATCCTTATTCCCGAATTCGTTTTTACAGACTCTCTTGTAAGGAAAAGGAAAATCGACTCAGAATTTTTAAAATTGTGCTATTACTAGTTTATATAGCTTTCAACAACAATTTACAAATAGTGTGCATAGTCAGTATAAATATTTAATTAGTGTATATATATATATATAT